TACTTAATAGAATAACTATTCACAGTTAACTTATAAGCCTTATTGTATCTTCTCTTGTGTCCATTTTTCACTGTAGCAAGTATAGTGCCAATGGCCGTAAAAATTAGCTTACAGCATGATAAGAACTGTTAAAATAAGATACATATTTGTGAATTTACAGAGCATCTTTTTTAAATTTTCAAAAACTATACGGTATCAAGCATTTTCTAGCATCTCTTTATTCACTTAGTGGTTAACTATTGGATTTAAGAGCATGATTTTCACTGAAGATTTTATTTCATACTCTAACTTTCACTCTACTTCCTTTTTTTCCTTCCATGAAGTTTTGATGTGCATATGTCAACAGGTTTGGATGAAATCTCCTATGAAAATTATGCCGTTACGTCCAGCAATAACTCACCAAATGAATGGAAAAATAATCGAAAATCCTATATGTTGCATTCTAATTGAACAGTTAAAGAAAGATGAATAATTTCACACAAAAATTAGCTCATGAATTCTTTTGAAATTTGTACACAGTAAATTACAATCATAATAGTGAAATCAAAACGAATAAAACCAGTTGGAAAAGGTACTGAAAAACGTAGGACAGTCGAAATACAAGCAAAGAAATTAGTGAGTGTATAGATGTATAGATGATTAATTAAAACGTCTTTATCAATGAAGATAGTTATTTAATCATTTTACTAAGACTGGAGCTTTCCAGTAAGACATACCTGAAATACAAATTTTAGTGAGTAACTATTTCTTCTGTGTTGAAGTGTAAGATGGCGGTTGGCGATGGTCGACAAGAAACAACGGGTCTATGTTTCAAGCTGTTGGGCGCTCATATCAGTTCCACCCTACATCTCAACACAGTGTATATGATCTTGAGTATCTTAGACTAGTAGACACGTTACAAACTAAAAAAAAAGATTTCAGACAGCTCCAAAAAAGACTCGACATTCATGACGTTGTCGATCAGTGAATGTTAAATTATTTCTGCCTTAATCTTTACATCAAATGGTTCTACATTGTCAAACGATTTATAACTATTTGATTGTAAGTGGCTTTAGGTTCAATTACAACATTCATACTACTGTGGTGCGTGCTACTTATATTGATATAAGTAGTGTATGACGCGAGTCAGCAATGTAATGTCTGGCGGCAGAAGATGGGGAAGATCAAGAAAGGAAGAGCGGGAATAGAAAGCAATTAGTATGGACATGAAGGAACAATGAAGTTCGAGACAATTATTTCACATTTTGCAGATTAAGTATTATAGTATGGTCTTCCTATTTTACCAAGTAACTCTGTAATTTTGTGCTAAATATAATTCGATTGTCCCCACCCGTGTTCTTGTTCACTACACTACATTGATCCGGCGCTTAAAATGAGGAATTAATTAATCAGTTCTAAACCTTTCCGTCCTACAGAATAATTGTGAAAACTTCTCAGACTGTGGAACTGAGTAATGCTGGTTTGAATGTCATACGAATCCTTAACTCCTCCATGATTTCAGGTACGTCTTGTTGACAAGTATCTTCCAGGGTTTCTTGTTAATTAACACTAGCTACTCAACAGTAAGATCGATTGCAAACGTCTCGCTTCTAGTGGAGGTTATCTGTGGCCTAAACAGGTCAGTGGAAATGTTTCGATCTATACCAATGAGTATATTATGTTTAAGAAAAATCATTATAATTATCAGTTCGCTCAAGTCTGCAGCAGCATCTCACTGAGGAATACTATTAATAAAAAAACATAGATTTAAGTTTCCTGATGAGTGCTTTTAAGCACTCAACATTGAAAATAACACATATGATATTAATTTCTTTTTTTTAAATGGTTCCTCGCAACTTAATCGGTATTATCTAAGCAGTACTAAACACTAAACAAACACGGTATTGCTCGCTCCTTTGTAATTAACAAGTCTATGTCCCTTCAGAAAAACTGAAGCTATCTAGACTGTGAAAGCATATTTTATTCATTTTCAGTTTTATTCATTAGTAGTACTTACAAGCAGATTAACTTCACATGTTTTAAACCAACCTGAATATCATGCAAATCAATGATCTTTATAACCAAACAAGTTTCTTTTTTATGAAATAGTAGGCAAAATTATTTAACATTTTATTTGATTTAATGAATAACTCATCAAAATCAAAATTATATTAACAGAATAGGCAATTATTCTTTTCATTATATACACAACAAATTATATTTAACCCTTATACTTTTATGTATTCGCTTTTCAAATGGGCAGCAAACAAAAAAAAACTAACGAACAATAATGAGTAGTAATAACCAAGTACGGATTTCAAATAGGCTAAATGCTGTCACATACATAAATACATTTATATTTATATATAAATCTACATCAACATATGAGACATAAAACGCGAATAATTAATCTATTCGTAAATAGGCAAAAAATATGTAAATAGAGATATAAGGATATAAGTAAACATTATATAATATATGCATATATGAATTTCAAGCTATGATAATGTTTTTCATTGAAGATTACTTACATATCTACACAGGATATTCAGTCGGAAAAGATAAATGAATATCTTCCATTTCTATGATTAAATACTTTCTGTGCTAATACTATCAATATAGTACGTAATTAAATTCAAATATGAGATTAGTAAGAAAAATAACAATCAATTGTGAAGTTTTTGATAAAGTAAATAGATTGTGACTAGAAGTGGAATTTGTACTTCATCCTATTTGGGACTCCCTAGGTAAATTTACTTGAACTTCAGTGTTGATTTTTATATTTGGACAATATCCAGTACTTAACTTTTGAAATGTTATTGTGTTATGCACTGGACTACTGAGTTCAGATGGCCACTAACTTTTTCAAAGGATATAACGTACAGAATATTTGAGAAACGGGGTCATTCAAAACTTAGTTGACATTGAAATAAGTCATAAATAAATATTTCCTAGTTATTTATCTTCATATACATCTGAGTTTCTGAAGTCTTTACATAGATCTTCATGATACCTTTTAAGTAGTATCGAGACCTTATGCAAAGATTTGTGGTGTCTTAACTGAAGTGATCATTGAGGAAATGACGAAAAAATACCAATTTGATATTATTTCGCTTATTATAGCTAGTGTTGGTCGATTGACAAGGAATTAATAATATTAACAGCAATAGACATATTTTTAGAATAATAAAAATAGTGATATTTTCTGCGAATATTCATCAAGATTAGAACGAATAGTTTGACAGAAATTGGGCGCCAAGTATAGAGAAGTCATTATATGTGAAAATTATATTTGAAATAATCTCAGCGATTGAAATTTTAATAAATCCAACGTTTCGTCCAGCTAACCTGTCTGGACTTCTTCAGGGTAATAAACAAAACCAAAATCATCAAAGAAATATGTAGCTTTTTCACAACCAAAACTATACTGTGTTAAAATGATCAAATTTGGATGTTGATTTTTTCAAAATAGGATAAGGTGAGTCAGTTAACTACAAATCCAGACAAGTTAGCTGGACGAAACGTTGGAATTATTTAAATTTCAATCTCTGAGATTATTTCAGATATGATTTTCACATATGAAAATAGAACCAAATCTTGAAAGACAATATGTATCTGATTGTGTTGCTCTTTTGTCAATCTAGTCAACATATACATCGAAAAATGAATGATATAAAGTATAGGAAAATTTTGTGGCTTAAAAATGATTTTTATAAGAACTTGAAATCACATAATGAACTGTAGAATATTATGAGGAAACGCCTACTAATATGTCCTAGTTATCTACTATTTAGCAACATCCAGTAATAACTTCATAAAGGATAGACTTCGACATTTCTAAGTCCTTATGATGAATACAGTACTAGTGTCTAATTGAGTAAAAACTTTATAATTTACAATATATACTTCAGATAACTGCAGAAATACTCCTTTCTGCATTAAGTGTCATATCTTTCACCTGTAAGAATAATAATATATTGTACCGATTAAATGTACATCATGCAATAAAAAAATGTCAGAACTATCTCAACAGTTTTACAAATAAAAATTTATGTCCATTAATTATCGACGCACGAACGTATTATAAAATATTTTAAATTGCTTCCAAGTGAATGAAATGGAATTGGTTGCTATACTGAGTTTTTTTCCCTATAGGGGGATATTTTTATTAGCGGTAGTATTGATGATATATATTTATTTTGTAAGCATTCTTTTAGTCCTGTTCTTCATTCAAACTAAGTCATCTTACTAAAGTTATTCAAGATATACAAGTCTTTTTCTTAATCACATAAATAACAGTATCGATATCCAATAATTTAATTTAGTTTTAAAGTTACGTAATTCATCATTCAGTCACTAGCTGAACATTTCATTCAACTAATGATTACTTAATTAAAATTACCCATTTGAAAAACATTATTCCATACAAATAATATCAAATGTATTCCAAACATCAATATCATTTCCTAGTTGTTCTATCGAAATTTATAAAAAGGGATTAATTACATAATATTCCAAGATAATTTAATACTGAAATTACTTTTGTTTTAATTACTTTAAAACAATTAGTCCCTTTGATAAGTGTAAAAGGGTGTATACTAAGGTTTATTGAAGCCTTAGCCATACGAAAATTCAAACCCCCTTTGTTTGTTCAAAAACAGTTTGTTCTTACCTTAAACCTACTCTGGTAATATTGACTTATTATCCAGAGTGATTAGGTTTCGAATTATGTTCACATTATTATTATTATTACTCTTATCATTATCCTTGTCTCCTCTTACCCCGTTCCCAGTCTAGTTGACCTTTTATTTTTATATATAACTGCTCTTAACAAGTTTATGTGTGATCAGATTGTTCGAAATGTATTGTGCTAATATATCATATAGTTCTGATAATCTTCGTCTTCTAATTACATTATCGAAGTTTTAATTACTGTCAAACACTTATTTTCATAGATAAATATGATTGAATAAAAAATAAAGCGATTATAAACCATGTAAAAATCTTATTCAAAAACTCACTTATAATTATAATCCAAGCAATAATAGATAATATCCTAAATAAATATATAATCTGAAACATTTTGTTTTAATCAAGTTATTCAGTTTATTAATATCCTGTTAATAATGGTTCCAATGCATTTGATAAGTATAATTTAGTCAGTAAATAGAAACTATCATTCTTTTTAAGAATCAAATAACAAACTGTCTGCCATATGGTTAAATTAGAACACATAAATTGTAAATTTAACAAGAAATTTTCATCAAATTTCTTTAGTTAGTAATATGATCAAATCTTGAAGATGGACCAATCCATTAGCATGACTAATAAAAGGCACAGCATTATTTTTTTAGAAAATGCTCACCTGGCCACAGAAACTAAATAAGTGAAAATGTAAGTGTTATGGTTTAGTAGTACAGACAGGTGTCTGTGTGCAATAGGCAAATGAAAAGGGGGTGAGGAAATTATTCTTAATAAGCTACACGGACAACATGACATGAAACCAACCAATCACAATCGTGATTATTTTTATTCTAGACCACGTGTATCGAATATAATTCTAGTAAAAAAAAAGGTAACTACATGTTGTTTTTAAGTTTCAACTTTAAATTTTCTACGAGGATATAAAGCATGGATCGCCATTACCACAGCTTCCATTTAAAAATATACTAAAGGATATCATTTTTTGTTTTATCTCTATTTTCATGATACATGTCATCATAGACTGCCAGTAAAGGTGAAATTTTAATACAGCACGTTTATCACCCCACCCATAGTATTTATAACTTGTTCATATCAGACTGATTCCATTAGAACTTGCAGAAATTCTTCTCAAAGAAATACATCAATAAATAGTAGCTTATAATTTAGCTGTGGAGTTTATAGAAGACTGAATAATTTGATTTTACTTTGATTAAAATAATTGCCAGTAGGAATGGTTGAAAATTTCAAAGACATCTAAGAATATTTCTATTATACTTTTATCATTGAAAAAAAAACAGATAAGGGAAATGTTTCGATCATTTTCTTTCAGAGTAATCACTTCCATTTTCACTATGACGATAGTGAACTGAAAGATAGTTTTTTGTCAAATAAATACTATAAATTAAAAGAAATTATACAACTATTCTACTTTTAATTGAGTTGTACCCATGACTTTTATATACTAGTCCTTCTGAATAAGGAAGCAAATCTTCTGCATAATGATTAATACTTTATGAAAAAAACTACTCGATAAGGCTAAACTGACATACTGTTGACTCGAAACAGTATTGAGTAGTTGTAAGTAATTGGCATTAAAACCTAGATACAATTTTTGTCGTAGTTAGTGATCACCACCAAGACGAGTTCGAAATTTTTAAATGTCCTTTGACTCTGTTATTATTCGAACCCATTTCCTTCAATGTTAACCTTTCTGGAACTCAACCTACCTCCTATAGAAATGAGATGTTGATATTGATCGAGTATTGATAAGTTGTAGACAGTCAAGTTATCCATTTTGATCCGTAGATAAGCGTATAAATGTTTAACAAAGGAAACATAACTACTCTTCTTATTAGTAAATATACATCACTTACGCAACTGATTTTTAACAGTCTAATAGTTACTTAATTTTCAAGGTTTGGTTTATGATTGTCCATTTCTTATTAACATGCTTGATGACATATGTTTCAACACTATAGAGGTCACGAACGTATCTAAGATAAAGTTTCATCAGATTTCCGACGGCCTTTAAATTCGTTCAGTTGTTTATGGAGTACATTTAAACACTTGCTGATTTAATTAACCCTACATTTTGAGTATTATACTGCAATAGGAACATTCATGATGAGTTTTTCTCGATATTTGTTAATGACACCATACATGGTTATTCTTTTATTAAGTTGGTTATCAACTAATTAGATAATGATTATTCCCTTCATTAACTTGGGTGTAATTCTACACCGAACGACTGGAAAACCAGTATTCTGTATAACCGATAGGGCTCTATAAATCGTTTTAGGCTTTCCACGTTTCAATGGATTGTAAGATATGATAATTTTCCAACAGATTAGGAGCTTCTTGAGATCTGCAACGATGCAGAATATCACTTAACTTTGAGGAAGTTATTTATGAGTTCTACTTGAAAAGCGATCATTTCAGTTATAGAGGTAAAAATGTTGAGAGTGGAATGGTCACTTAACTATAGTATTGGAAAACTGTAGCACAATAGCTGGAATTGACAGTTTAATATGTTAATTAATAAATCTTAAGCCAGTAGGCTAAAAGAATCTTGCTGCTAGGAGAGTCTGAACGTCACAGACCCGACTCCTAATGAGTTCCTATTCTGTTCATTGTCAAGGAGTTACAAACTAGGATGAAACGGCAGTGCAATCCTCCCTGAATATCAACTGTTCGCCAGTTGTTTTGAACATAGTAATTAGTAGGGATTATGAATGGTTATGTATATTACCATTGTTCTGAATGAATTAAAGATTAACCATTGATTTTGAGATAACTACTTTATGTTTTGGAAAAATATAATCTAATTAGTCTAATCAAATGGTCATTCCATATTCTCTTTAATACAAATCCTAATCAATTTATCTATATAAACGTTGATCTTGAAAATGTTTTGCCACTGTTTTTTCCCCTCATTTTATCTATCATGTTCTTTCTGAAACAGGTTTAATTCATCAAAACAATCATTTGATATACATTATAAATTAGGTAGATTGTATTACTTTTTAAGTATTCAGTTTGTTCATGTAATTGTTTTGTCTTTTTTAAATAGTTTTTTTTAATGCTACTAATAAATGCCTCTAAAAGTGTGATATTTTGACTTTTTTTCTTCTTTGGATTGAATCTAGTCATCGTATCCCATAGTTCATTGTCTAGAAATATTATGGTTGCATGTCTTGATACCTAAGTCAAACAATATAATAAAGCAAAGTAGAAATAAATCAAAATGTAATTTTCCTTCTAATAACTGAATACACGAATTGAACTAAGTGTTGATTTAAAATGTTCGTTTTTTTCTTATCTTAGTCAATATTCATGTTTGAATTGATTATTGAATTCTAGTATATGATTTTCATGGATGTCTGGATATTGTTTGCATTTATATGTTAGTTATATATATGTATTGGAAGATTCACAGTTAAAATCATGTATTGATTTTGACTAGACCACCTGGAAACACACAATAGCCGTTTTGTCCTATTATATGTAATTGTTAAAAATAGAATTTATTAATGACTTGTTAATAGTATGCACCAACATCTTGATCATAACATTCATATATAGACCTCAAACTAGTAACAAATACTTTGAAATTTTATAACTAATAATTAATGTCATACACTTTGAAAACAAAGTAACGGCTATAACAGCTTAGTAGTTTGATGAAGAAAACACTATATTTTAAAGTATTTTGTGCTAGGTTTGAGTACAAGTATAAGAATCAATATTAAAAAGAAGTTACATTCATTGTATGTGTCCTATGTATGATACAGTTACGGTATGAGATTTCACTGTTAGCTGCTATTCGTAATGTAATTCAACTGAACAATGAATGTTGTCTTTTTATAAATAAATTACCTAGATTTCTTAGATTTACCTATCAGTTTTGTAATATATTTTATTTAATCGATACAAATTTGTTTGTAGTAGTAACGTAAGTAAATAAACAATAAATAAATACAACCAATTTGTATTGGTAATTTGAATCTTCCAAATCATGTTTAGAACTGCAAATGCTTGGTCTCTTTTGGTACATGTGCATCTTATGCGGATCACCTCTATATTGTCATTAAGTCACAAGTATTTTTAAGCATAGATGGAGAGTGGCTAGCAGTGGAATACTTGAAAGAGACTAATCAATTGCCGTCCTTAACATTAATAGGAAGATTCAAACAACCAATACAAATGAATTAAACATCATGTCATAGCACAAACTACTGGCAATCTAGACTCAGTAGTTAAGTAAATAACGCTATGATGTTTAAAACGAACAGTACTCGGTTAGAGTTTCGTAGTAAACATCAACTCTAGGATACGAGTATGTCCAGCTGTTGAGTATCAAATCAGGCGAACCTCATGTGTTGGATTTCACTGCTAGTCACTATCCATTTCTGCTTGGAAATAAGTAAAATTATTAATGTAGCCACAATTTATAATATTTATTTATTTGTAAGAAAAACAGGAAAAAAGATTTTTGCTTGTAGAAACTATTACTTAGGTATTTATAAACATTACCACTCATTCATATACAACCATGATAATTAACTAATACATTAAATAAAAAAAATTGAAGTTATTGAATGAGATCAGTAGTAGAAGCATTAAAAATCAAGGAATTTTGAACAAGTGTTCTGTAAATGTTTATGACTCTACAACACCGTATATGAAAATATTCTTACCAGAGGTTAAATCCAAGACATTTTTATCCTATGGTAATCATAATATGCATAAAAAGTTCTCTTTATGACAAAACCAAAAATTATTCTGGCTTAATTTTTTAGTACTAATTAGTAACTAATCTAATATTGTAGTATTGGTTAATTTATGAATAGCAGAATGACTTGTGTTTAGTTTACAATACAGTTTATCATCTATTTGAGGTTAAATGAATTTTGTGAGGCGCTGGTTAGTTATGTTGTCTCACCATAAATTCAACCAATGATGTACACACTGTATCCTATTCAGTTTCGAGATCTAAATATTCACGTTTGATAGTAACCAATTCGTTAAACGAGTGATAACTCATAATCGTATTATTCATATTTCTCAATCTCAGAAGTTACATGTTACAAACAGACGATCAACTGACACCATCTCATTGGATTTAAATCATTTTCTTGTGAAACTAGTTCATCTCACAAATCGAATGATTCTTACCAGGAATATATAAGTGATTATAATGAGATGAATTTTTCTCGTTGTTTTAAAACTACAATGTTATTGGTAACTGCTTTACTGTGCCTCAATTATTTAAAGATACTAGTATACTAAGTCACTTTGAATCTTCTCTAGAAAAAAATCTGACAATTTATGACATACAGTTTAGAAATCATCAAGTCTATGTAGTAATGAAATATTTTAGGACTTATGATAATATGCACACTTTTGGATAATCCTTATACGTGTGATTCACTTCATTATTGCTATCGTATTGATACCAAAAATAGTAATAATAGTAATAATCAATACGAATAAATGAACATTTAATATAACTTCTGTTTAAGTTACTGACTATAGTAATGCTGACCGACATGTTTATTGTCATAAGTAAACAGGATTAATATAAATAAAATTATATTATTCATTATAGCATAAGAAATGAATTTTATTTTGAATTGCTAAATTATCCGAAACCTAAATTATGTCAAACAAGACCAGAAAATTAATGTCTAGGTATA